ACCCCTCCTACAAACGATCTTTACTTTACAGTACCCCCTCCTCACCTAATGGTACAATCCAGAAACCTGTGCATGCCCATATCAGGTTACCACAGTCGCCGCCTCGCAGCTTTGCCACAAAGCCTAAACCACTCTCGCCGAAGGGGGAGGCAGCCAAAGTGGGAGGGAAGAGCTCCGCTTTTAAACCCATCAAGAAAGCCAGCTTGCCCACAACGAACAGCGCAGTTGCGTCGCTGTCGATATCACTCTCGCAGCCCTCTAAAGCACCCTCGTCACCGAACAAAGCCGCAAAGTCCGACAAATCGGGTCAATCTCAGGAAACGGTAAAACCACAAAGTGAGAACAGTGCGTTGTCTGCTGTTAAGTCACCGGATGAGAAAAGAGCCGTTAGAATTGTCGTCACTGAGGCAGAGGCGGACATCAAACAAACCACAGTCGGTGACGCTAAATCCAGAGTGAATGACGTCAACGCTAAAGATGCGGGGGAGAAAGAGGAATCAGAACATTCAGACAAAGATATAAATATTAACTTATCAGGAAAGACAACACCTACCAAAACAGATCTCGATTCAAGTACGCAATCGAACGTCACAAACGGCCATTCAGATGGTGGCGAGCAAAATCCTGAGGATGAAAGAGTTAGCAAAACAAATGTCACTGATGTTAATGATGAAAAGAAGGTTGTGAAGAGCGCGGCTGTGGATGATTCCACAAAATCAGACTATGTTACCGAGATTAAAACCACCTTCGTTAATGGCATTATCGAGGAGACGTTTATCAATTAGCATGAACTTAGACAGTACAAGTGAAAAGAATATACTAGCTACTTGGGAGTGTTTCTAAACAGTTGCAATAAATGTGTACTTAATTTGCCAGTATGGTTGAATATGTGTAGCATTTTGTGTAGGATTTACCATCAAGGCTATTCATTAATACAGGTCTTACCCAAAATATTGATGTAATCGAAAGTGTTATTTAAGCAGATTATGACAGTTTTTATCTATAAAGATGGTTCTCTTTTCTTGTAAATATGATCATGTTAAAGTGGTGTAAAGATTTATGAGATGGTGTCCTTTATTCTTTGTGTGATAGCTTAATGATATCCGCCGAGAGCCAGATGGAAGTTAGGTCATCTATTTTTACTTTGGATTAAAGCCATCCTGGCTCTCAAAAGAAGATATCATTGTGCTTTGTAAATCGATAATCATCACAAGTGTTTCTAAATTGAACAAGGAGTAGCCGGTCTGTGCTGATTTGGTAATTTCCTGGTCATGTATGTACCATAATGTATTCACAAAAAGCTTGTTAATGTGCAGTACGATTATTTAATAGTTAACATTCGTAAATATTCATTGTCATTTTAAAAAGGTATTCTGTATATATGAAATGTCCAGCTCTTTTAAATACATGTACATGTAAAACCCTCTGAACAAACGTTTCACGATGGCAGATTGATCCAATTTTAGAATTTGTGTGGTGACTTAAGATATTTTTTAAAGTGCCAGGTATTTCCTCAACCCACCTTATGAGTAACCTTACGTAAACAACCTGAAACGAGGAACTTGTTTACCTTAAGATCCGTCTATGGCTCTAATTTTTCTTGAATGTTGCGCCCCACCCATTGTGTCAAAATCACCTTGTTAATATGTACATTGCTTTGTACAGCGGAACGATACAAAACACAGACAAATTCTTAAAAGATTGAAGTTTAGCCATTTGTGTGCCTTTTTTAAAATGAAAACTGAAATTTAAACCAAAAAGCAGGGATTGTTTCTTTTGATGTTGCAAAAAAAAATTGATTGATGTACATTAAGAGTGGAAACCAGGTCGCATGTCAGCTCAGCACAAGCATTCTTTTAGTTTGTAGAGAAAGACTGAATATGAAGTAGGCAAAGTACATGTAGATACACAAACAGGACAAAAATGTGGTGCTATATATATTTTTAAAGCTATCAATACTGTTTTCAAGGTTGTATGTGTGGTGTTTTATAACAAAATAATCATTTGATATGATCCACTTTCATTTCGTTTATAGGTTCAAGTTCAGAGTCACTCTGTTGGTAATTGAATGATCACAAGCGAAGGAGATGATGTGATTTAAATCGTTCAGCATTTATAATCATAACCCCCGGAAATATGTACAGTTTAACCTGTATAGAAAGATTACGAATGGAGCAGCCCAATATTCACAGGTTTCATTAGACGCGTATTCAATCAGATATTTTCAAGGGAAGTAACATTTTTTATATACAGGGGGTCTTTATAGACAGGTGGTTTTTATAGACAGGCGGCTGCTAAACCAGGTTTGATCTGTTTCTGAATGGTATCTATTAATCAGGCGCATTTTATGAAGGGTTCAATGTCTGATGTCTCCAAAGTTTGTTAGCATAGAACATAAAATGAGAGACAGACAAGGAAGTTTGAAGGGGTTATAAAAAGAATGTGGTTTATCACAATGAAGTTTATCACACCTCGTAGGGTTCAGAGTTCATTCGGAGGGAATCTATTGGAGATGAATTTAGAAAGAATGGTTTGTGTGGCAAGGAAAATTAAAAAATGACACTTATTGCTAAAAAATTATCTTTATTCATACCAGTATATTTTTTCCCAGTCCATATTCTGTATGGATTTCTTAGCTGTACTCTCCCTGTTATTTGTTTCTAATTCACTTTTTGTGATCCAATTTTGTGTAGCATTTAAAAATTGCTCTTCTTTGTGAATTTGACACCAATAACATGTACAATATTGATTCCTTTTCAACAAGTTGTTGCGAAAATATCCTTTAAAGATATACTTGTTCTGTTCCTACACCAAGTTCAAGGTCATTTCATAGCATTATCATTTGTTGCCTCTTTAAACATTTTTAATATTGTTGTTTGATCTCTCTCTCTCTCTCTCTCTCTCTTTTGATCATTATTTGATGGTATATAATGCCCTTTTCAAACAGTAAATGGTCTTCATGCCAATCTGGAACAGTAGAAAATATCATGAAGTTTAATCATGTGTGTACATGGTTTTCTTGCCAAACGTTTCCTTTGAAATTAAGCCCTGAAGTTCGTTCCCCCCCCCCCCCCCCCCCCCGGAGACTTTTGTTTGTATTCATTTGACATATATTATCCAACTTCCGTAGATTTATTCTTCTTAATCAACCAGGAATTTGCAGTAGATTTCCCCCTTTAATGAAATTGACATTTAGAGGTGTAATAAATAATAGAATATAAAGTGTTAAGGGTAGTCACATGACGCGCTGAGTCACCAAATAATTCATAGGCTAGTCTGAGAGGGGGTTTTCCCTTCTTTTTCCCCCTGCACAGTGCAGCAGGGACCCCCAGGCCTGAGCGAAACATATGTTCTCTCAGCTGATTAATTAATGCTTAATTGCTGGCATACACGTGGGAAGGGATTTCCCCTTGTCGCTTAATTGACAGTTTGAGTCGTGAGCTTCAAGTCCCCTTAGAAGAGATAAGGAACGGGGGTTGGGGGTATTAGAGGGAACATAGATCGATTGGTTGGACAGGTTCCCGTTTGTGGGTTTCCTTCACTAAATCATTAACATCCCTGTATGTTTTATGAAGTGCTATCACTAAATGCATTAAAGATAAAGTTCTGGTCATATGATTGAATTATATTAAAAGAACTGACTAATTTACATATTTTAAAAACATAAAACAGGAACCAAATAAGATCCAAGTAAAATGAATTAACAGAAAAATAAATTAAAAATGACAATAGAATACCTCTACAAATGGGAAACCATGGGAATTTCATCAAAATAGAAATCAATTTGAACTTAATTTAAAAATATAAAATCTTTTACAGTAGAAATTAATCTTGAAATGAATTGAATACTAATTGAAAAAAGAAAACGTCGCACTTAAATCACACAATATGCACACAATATTCAAGGGTGGGCCTGAAGACATTACCAGTAAGTGGAAAAGGATGTATTTGCAATTGAAGAATAAGGATATCTATTTCTTGGTTGGATTGCAATTAAGAAAACCCTGTAATAAGGAAAGAAGTGTAAGCAATGCAGTCGTTTCCTTTAACATCACATGAGGGAAGCTTTCACAACTAATTGTTTTGGCCAAAAACGGACTTATCGAGCTAAAAGTAGCAAAACAGGAAATGCGAGTGTCATGGTGAAATCAAGATTTCACTTGGAGTATTGAAAGTGAGTGGGCTATTCTCATCAAACAATCAAGTGTTGACATAGACTTTTCTATAAATGGGTTTTGATATGGTTTGGAGTAATTAATAGTTTTGATTAAAATTGAGTGGGATAAAGAACCGAAAGTAGATAATTTAGAGTTAAAAATATACTTAAACAGTTATGCTGGATGATCCTGACTTATAATGAGTGATTATTTGCAAATAAATTAGATGAAAATGTGTTATTGGGGAGAAGAATATTCAAAGAAAAGTAAGAAATTGAAGTATTGATCCATGTCCTATGTTGAGCACCAGTACACATGGTCTCATATTATAGTTAATCTCATTTTTCAAGAGGTTATAGTTCCTTTTCCCTGCTTTTTAATATTTCAAACTTGAATCAGAACATTTTCTACCTGATAAACAGATTGGAATGACTTAAAATCAATTTCTCTGAAAATGCATCACAAATTTAGATATTTATCCTAACAAATCTTAATTACATTTTGAATAATGGTCAAGAATAACAAGAGATCAGGCATGAATGAAAGATAAGAAAATTTGGAATTAGAATGGTAACAATTTTGGATGTCAAGGATTTCAGTTACAATTGATCTTAAAATCTTGCAATTTTCATTTTATGCTATAAAAAGGAAGGAAAATCTGTAGTTTATCTTGCTTTTCTGTGGAGTCAATTTAGAAAGATCAAAAGAAAGATAGGATGAGTTTTTCACCAAAAAGAAGCCCCTTTCATTTGTTCAATATCCAAGCACACAGCTAATTCACATTTTTACCAGAATTGCTTTTCCATAATCCAATTTGAAGTTCTGTTTTGCTGTATAATACTATTTTAATAGGGATTAGGTTTACTTGCTTGTAATCTTCTTTAAAAAGATAGAAAGATAAGTAAAGAGTTATTTTTTAAAAGAGAATGATTTTCCAAGATAAATGAGATTACATCGCAAGGCATAAAACAAAACGTAGAAATACAGCGTATGAAGGATTTAAGGAAGATTTGGGCATGGATGCGATGAGATCTGAATAATGATACTGAGTTTATGGAATGGATATAAAGGGGTTTTCCCTTTTTGATTGAAAGAGAAATACAAACCAAGAACAATGATTACATCCTTGATTTCATGTTTATCTTCATCTGGCAACGTTAATGAATACGATAAGCATGATCCGGGATTTCCCCCAACGAAGCTCCGGCACTGAAATCAAAAGTGAAGTTAAGATCAGAGGCTTGGCACAAATTGAAAACAAGCCTAATGAGATGGTAATTGCGCCATTGTCGCTGAATCTCAAACAAGATCTTCACGGATTATGAATCGTTACCATGGCAACAGCTCGGCAGCTGGATACACGCTCTTGTAATGACATTTCTTGTCGGGATTTGTCCCGAGAGGAAACGGGAATAAAAAGCAAAGATCTTTCATTTGATGTTAATTTACAATTTCTGCAGTGTTGCTGATGCTTTATGCCTCTACAATTAGTCTTGTTAAGGACTAGATGAAAGAAAGTTTGCTCTTAAACTGCCTAAAAAAAGCAGATAACATGAATAATGTGTTTAATTGTGTAAAAAAATTGAAAACAAAATGACATTGATTGGAGCAATAAGCATGTATTCATTTTTATCTATTAAAATGCCTTAGTAATATCAGCGTACCTCAATATATCAGAATCATGCTTGGAAATTTATCAAATATTTATTTTGTCTATAAGAGTTATGTCATTACTATATATCTAACAACAGCATTAAAATATGTAACGGTGGCTTTGAAACGGTAAGTTTGATATGGCAGTAATGTGTGATCAGCAATTCAAACATAATTGATGTTCAACGTAATTAGTCTTAATATCCGCCGTCTTTAATCGTAAATGGAGTGATGGGGAGGAGGAAATAAAGGGGAAAGTCTTGCCTTTACTGATGCAAACATAAAAGTGCTTGCTTTGCATCTTTTAGTATTTATTATGGAAGAAATAAACCATTTTAAAATTGATGCAGGAGCTGGAAACTTTGCAACGGTACAAAATTGCAAATATTCTGTTTCAGGGCTTCACACTAAAAGGGGTCCTAAGCATAGAGCCCCCAAAATGATAATGCTAAGCCCTTTAAAAAAATCATACTTGAAAAGGGAGGGGACAATGCATACAGGCAATGAAAATGTCCGTCTAGACTCCCATTAAAGAAAACAATTAGCGAAGAGCCAAGCGGTTCGTTGGTAAATCTCCAATAATCATTAAAACTTTTGGATATTTCAGTCATGCACATTACAAAAGGAATTTTTGCATATGTGTTTTAAAATATGAATTGGTACAGCTACATATCTTTTAAGCATTCAAGCACTTTTTCTTCTTCTAAAAGAGGATTTGTTTCTATAGATTCCTTTAGTTGTGATCAGCATCATCTCTTCTTATTAGAAATACTAACAATCATGCCTTTGATATTGAAATATTGACTAACTTTTTCATGCAATCGATGAGTGATTTATTATAATATGTGTAGCGGTTTAAGGTTGTTCATGTCTTTAAATTGTAAATAAGTAAGACATGTCATGTAATTTCTATTTATTATGATATCAGATTGCACAGCACAACAAATATACATAAGAGAATGTAGGTTTTGCAAAAGTTTATTTCCTACTTCATTTCAAATGTTTTTGTTTTTTTCAAGTTTAATATTGTTTCTGTTTATAATGAATCATACATGTAGTTACATTTCATTTTCGTTTGAGAAGTTTTGTTTCAGTTGTATACCTCTTTCACACACACATTGGTTTTCTGTGCTTACAATTACGTTGTGAAGTGCGTGGAAGGGTGTGTTTGCACTATACTGCAGTGAGTTATGAAGCACACTGGAGTCGCATGTAAAAACTCTGTCCACACTGCATATTGAAACGGATTTGTATAAAAGAAAGGGCTGTTATGCATTGAATGGAAAAGTTGTTTGCTTAGAGTGAGAAGGGTGTATGTAACATAATGATTCAACACTGTTATTTCTGGTCCTCAACCGATGAAATGCATATGTAGAGAGTTTTACGATTGCACATCTTATACATATATATGTGTGGAGGTTGCATTCTAATATTATAACATCTATTTAGAGTCAAAAGGGCCTTAACTTTGTCTTAAAGTATATGAGTTAACGCCATTCTGAATCTAAACAAAATATAATGTGTAAGTAAAGGACCTGTTCATACTGTAGTTTTAAAGACAGTCCAGATGCTTCCTACAGTGTTTGTCACTTTGCCAAAATGTTCCTTGAGATTTAGTCAGTTTTGCATCAGTGGTGAGACACTTCATAGAAAAGATCACAATTAAAATTTGTTTTTCTGTTGAAATATATAAAAGTAGTCATTTGAAGTCTTTTTATTTCTTGTAAAAGGTATTGTAAGGGCATATGAAAGGTGTGCAATCAGTGAAAATGTAGATTTTTTTAAACGTAGCAACTGTTTCATTTGTTATGAGATCTAGAAGGGAATGAAAGATATGAGTTAAAGCCTTTCTGGCTCTCAGCCGATGATAGTAGGTTAGAGGTGAAAGTGAAATTGTCACTTGACTCCTTTTGAGCATTTTAAAGATTTCTAGAGTGATTGAGGGAGATAAGAGGAGAGAGGGGAGAAGGGAGGGAGAGAGAGAGAGAGAGAAAGACAGAGCATGATGGAGATGGAGAGGGGGAGAGATGGATAAAGATATTGATAGAGAGGAGAAGAGAAGAGAGATAGAGATGGATAGAGAGAAGGGATAGACAAAGAGGGGGTAGAGAGAGCGTGATGGAGATGGAGAGGGGGAGAGATGGATAAAGATATTGATAGAGAGGAGAAGAGAAGAGAGATAGAGATGGATAGAGAGAAGGGATAGACAGAGAGGGGGGGTAGAGAGAGCGTGATGGAGATGGAGAGGGGGAGAGATGGATAAAGATATTGATAGAGAGGAGAAGAGAAGAGAGATAGAGATGGATAGAGAGAAGGGATAGACAGAGAGGGGGTAGAGAGAGCGTGAGGGAGATGGAGAGGTGGAGAGATGGATAAAGATATTGATAGAGAGGAGAAGAGAAGAGAGATAGAGATGGATAGAGAGAAGGGAGAGACTGAGAGAGGGTAGAAAGAGCGTGATCGAGATGGAAAGGGGGAGAGATGGATTAAGATATTGATAGAGAGGCGAGGAGAAGAGAAGAGAAATAGAGATGGATAGAGAAGGGATAGACAGAGAGAGGGGTAGAGAGAGCGTGAGGGAGATGGAGAGGGGGAGAGATGGATAAAGATATTGATAGAGAGGAGAAGAGAAGAGAGATAGAGATGGATAGAGAGAAGGGATAGACAGAGAGGGGGTAGAGAGAGCGTGAGGGAGATGGAGAGGGGGAGAGATGGATAAAGATATTGATAGAGAGGAGAAGAGAAGAGAGATAGAGATGGATAGAGAGAAGGGATAGACAGAGAGGGGGTAGAGAGAGCGTGAGGGAGATGGAAAGGGGGAGAGATGGATAAAGATATTGATAGAGAGGAGAAGAGAAGAGAGATAGAGATGGATAGAGAGAAGGGATAGACAGAGAGGGGGTAGAGAGAGCGTGAGGGAGATGGAGAGGGGGAGAGATGGATAAAGATATTGATAGAGAGGAGAAGAGAAGAGAGATAGAGATGGATAGAGAGAAGGGATAGACAGAGAGGGGGTAGAGAGAGTGTGAGGGAGATGGAGAGGGGGAGAGATGGATAAAGATATTGATAGAGAGGCGAGAAGAGAGATAGAGATGGATAGAGAGAAGGGATAGACAGAGAGAGCGTGAGGGAGATGGAGAGGGAGAGAGGTGGATTAAGATATGGATATATCGAGGGTAGAGGAGAAAGGATTGGAAATGGAGTAAGAGAGAGGATGAAAGAAAAAGACAAGAGTGAGATGGAGAAAGCGAGAGGGCATCCTTTGATGTATCAAGAAATAATAATGAATGGAAGACAATTGTAAGGAAATGGGTGATAGAGATAAGCAGAGAAGAATATTTGAAACGGAGAATACCAAGTTCAGTAATAAGAACTATGCATGCATCACACCATTTTATTGTGGGAGTGGTAAAAATATTAGGGGGAAATCCATCCTTAGCTGACAACTGCTCTAATGTTTATAAAAAAAAAACAGAGAAACAGACTGGTGAAAATTTGAAGAAATCTGACAAAAAATAAGAAAGATTAAAATAAAATTTCTCAAAACAGATGATTCAAAAGGTTCTTTTATTAGGACCAATAATAATATGCTATCCATAATATATTTTGAGTAGTGCCCTAAGGGAAAAGGCATTTAGCAGAAAAATATGAGTGTGTTTATTCAACAAATGGATGGATTTAGTGATCTCACATTTCAAGCATCCATAACTACCTCATTATTGGCTTGATTTATTTAACACTTTCGTGTTTCTGTTTCTCTGATGGGTCTGCTTCCATTCCAAAGAATTTATTAACAAAAGTTGGATTGCCTTTCAAACAAAACGTGGAAAGAGGAGAGAAGACAGGGGGCAAGTGAAAGAGTTTATTAAACAAATTATTAAAACATATGTGCAAAATGACGATATCATTGTTGTTGGCTTTGGTATCTGGGATCAATGCGCTTCGTCGATCTATTCTGGTACTTCACATCCAGCTACATCATTTCATACACTGAATGCGTGTATGCAGATAAGGCCTAAAATCAAAATTTGTTGTATTGCCCTTTGCGACCGACCCAAAAATCTGAAGTCTACGGTCGGCATTTTAATTTATTTTTTTTTTAAACCGTTTTTTTAGATTTTTTAAAATTATTAATGAATAAAAAAGATAAATGGGATATAAATGCATGAAATCAAATCAGTCCCAAATTCTCTCTCGTCTTCTGCCCTAGTTTCAAAATCCTACTAGCGTAAACATCTCGGTCAACACAACCTTGCAAACCATGGATTATTATGAGGTGAAAATATATGAATGAAATGATGACGCTGAAACACAAGCATTAACAACCGAGAAATATCAGCCAAAAGACTTTTCCGACCGACCCATGTTTTGGCACCCAAAGGGCAATACAACAAGTTTTATAAGGCATTATAACGTAATAAGTTTAATCACCATGAGGTACTCATCTATTTCTTAAGGGAACTATGTTAGTTACGGTGTTATAGGTAAATATGGTGAGTGAGGGTGGTTACAAACGGCTTCAAATGAATGTCTTTTTTACAGACGCTCTCTCTTTCTTCTCTTTCTCTTTCTCTCTTTATCTCTCTCTTTCCATCTCACTCACTCTCTTTCCCCTTCTCCTTATGCAAAACGGTAAAAGCCAGGAAAATCACAGAGTTTGCGCTATTTCGTGTTTTAAAGGTACTATGTCCCATTTGCAGGCAAAAAAAATGAAAAGGTTAAATTCCAACGGCATTTGAAAGACTACTAATTTAGAACTTCTCTGATAAAAGGGGGGCTTGAAAATGTCTTTAAGTGGGAAAATAACGACTATTTAGTTGTCGAATCGACTTAGGAGCTATAGAGCCAGTAAGTAATAGTCTGATTTTTTCAGACCATTGTACCGAAAGGTCGTACATTTATTTTTATGCTGCGCAAAGATTCAATCAGTTTAATTTTGGCCATTACAAGAAGTGGGTTATTGATGTAGACTGAATTGAATTTCACAGATAGGACATACATGACATATCCATAATTCCTGCAAAGTTCTACATAATTTGATGTTGGCTGCAAAAGGGACATAGTGTCTTTAACATCGCGAAATCGGCGAGTGGTATGAATAACCCTATATGACCGATGAGTAGGCATTAAGATTTGTAGGCAACTAATTACCCCATGACTATCTCATCAATCAAACTAGTTCGTGATAACAATGTCTGACTAATGACGTAACGTAATGGAGGCGTGAATCGTTAATATTTTAACCAAAAAAAAAACACGTATCAATACGTTACAAAATATTTATCTGCTTTTGTGTATTGAATTGACGTCATGTGCGTTTCCTGACCACCATCTATAAAATCACCGGTGAACAAACAACTTTAGATTGGCCAAACGAATCAATCATTTATAAATTACCAAATCTAACGTCTTGTTCGGTTATAATATTTTGCTCAAACGGAAGGAAAAGAAAGGAATAGTAATGCTGCTGCTGATGATGGTGGTGGTGGTGATGATGGTATTGATGATGATGATGATGGTGGTGGTTTTGGTGGTGGTGATGGTGGTGGTGGTGATGATGATGGTGACGGTGGTGGTAGTGGTGGTGGTGGTGGTGGTGATGGTGGTGGGGTGGTAGTGATGGTGATGACGTTGATGATGGTGGTGGCGGTGGTGGCGGTGATGATAATAATGTTGATGATGGTGGTGATGGTGATTATGATGGTGATCAGTAATGGGGGGGGGGGGGGGTAATGGTGATGACGCTGGTGGCGATGGTAAACCGGTAGTGCTGGAGGTGGTGATGGTTATTGTGGAGTTATCGATGTTGATGGTGACGATGATGATGATGATGATGAGGATGATGAGGATGATGAGGATGTCTTTAAACACACCACATAAAATATAGTAGGGCCTATAACACAGTATACGAAATTCATATAACGTACACTTTTCTATAGGCTAGCCCTATACTGTGATCATGCACGCAATACACAAGCGTTCTTGCAAACGTACATCAAGAGATAATCGATAATCGATTATATTAGTACTTGCACAACAAAATAATCACGGGACAAACAATTAACTGAATAGAAAATATATAAAGAGTGAATGAGACCGTTTGAAACTGTACAATTCATATCCATCTCCAGTATATAGTAAACGATTATCCTTTCTTTCTGTCCCTTGGCAAATCTATTTTAAGATGTCCTTTCGATGATTCTGTATACTTGGTAGGGGGTATATATTGCTTATATAATAAGTTTAGTTCCCTTTGCTTTGGTCTTTCACTGAGACCAAAGCAGACAGGGTCCGAAAAGGCGTCAACCCATCCATCCATAAATGTGGTGTTTATCGATCTGCAATCGAATTACTCGGTTCCTTTACACTGTTTTGAAGTTACTCCAGCTTTGTTATCTGGAGTCGTTATCCTGCATTTTTTTCTTTTTTCTTTGTTCAGACGCTATAGTTACATAAGTAACGCTCCCATTAAGTTTGAGAGGAGGGGAGAGGGCCGGAGGGGGGCTGATGAACATAATCATAAGTATCGCTAATTGTCAAATCCCCAAAACGTGAGCTATCCGCAAAACATACTTGTGTAAAAGTGATTTTGTTTGTCCCTCTCTCTCTCTCTCTCTCATTTCCTCTTTGTTTTTCTCTCTTCATTTTCCTTCTATTTTTATAACCCTTAAGGATTTATTGGTTCAATTA